TGTTCTTTGGTACATTGGAAATTGCATTTAACACCAGCTTGGTGTGGCAAAGGCACAGATTTAACAGATTGTTCACTTAAGCATGTAAGACCAGCACCTGCAATTTCATGGTCCATCAAAAAAAAGCCTTGCAAGCATGTTTAAAAAGCATTTTTTTTAAATGGCTGCTTCTTTCTGTGGTTACATTTTAAGCTTTAAATTTTTTAATTTGTTTTTTTGATGATAGTAATTGTTTTTATAGCCCCTTCCTGTTAACCTGTAGGAGGGTACGGTATCATGAACCTGTCATGGCAAGCTTTTCTCCTGCTCCACTGATTTCAAGAATAATTATCCTCATGTACTTAAGCACAAACTAATAACTAGTGATTTTAAATTCACAAGAATGGCTGCATCACATATTCTCAGATGTTAATTGAAATATGTAGCCTTAAAGTCTTAACATTAAGAGTGCAGTTATTTTAATACTTTAATATTTGGCATACTCAAAAATAAAAACTGAGCAACAAAAAGTTTTTTGTCAACAGCTGATAGTCTGGCTTCTTTCAGGAAGTGGGAAGTAGGAAAATGAGAACCTCAGGCCACTTTGCTACTAGTAGCCAAACAAGCAAAATGAGACAAATACATTGTGTTTCTTTAAGACAGAGTGATGCATTTTTGGATTATAAAAGAATATTTGATGAGTATACTGGCATTTTGTATCAGTTCTTTAATAATCTTCAGAGATGGGCTCAACATCCTGGACAACACTTGACAGACAGGCAGCACAGCAATATATAAAGGGTCACCTGTCCTTTGTTTGGGGAAAAAAGAAGGCATGAATAAAATTGATTTTTACTTAACCAGAGTTTACCTACACAAGGCACAACTAAATATGTAGTCACTTAATCAGCCAAAGCTCCAGCTGTGTGAAAGAATCCATGCCATTAATGGTTGTAAAAGACCCCTTGTATGCTCTTGTGATATAGGTTTTGTTTTGTCAGAGATGTGGTGCAGCTGAGGAATTTTGTAGGCTTTGGAATAAAGTACGTGGTGTCTGTAACAATGGTCATTTTGGGCAAGTGTATTAATACTGTGCTCTTCTTTTCTTTTGTTACATTTTAGACTGTGAAAATAATGTTAATACTTTTTTTTAACACTTTTATATATCAGTAATTTGAATAGCAGTCTTTAATACAAAACTATATTGACAGTTTTGCTCAAATGACTTTTCTTGTAGGGGAAAGTAGTTTCCTTATGAATAATGTATATTTCTTTTCAAATTTCCTATTCTGTTCAGGATTAAGTACATCACCTTTTAGAAGTATACTAATGTTAATCTTGATACGAAGCTAGACATTTTGAAAAGGCATGGAAAAGGTGAACACCGTTTTGCACCTTCAAGTGTGCGTACCACTCAACTGTGATGGGTAAATAAAGATGTGAATGGGACAACTATACCAAGAACTTAAGTGAAAGTAACTAAAATGCAAGATTTTACGATGGAAAAGATAAATTTGCTTGGTTTATCAATTGAAGAACTAACACAGACTTCTTCCTTGACAGCTAGCATACTGTTTATCCTCTTTTAGTGCTATCAGTATATATACAACTTCTTTTAATGCCTTTTTGTTTAATGAGCTTTGCTTTGACTATTAAGGAAGGTATCCCTTCCATCAAATGAAGGGTTGGTATGCTAAATGTCTATTTTTATCTATTACGTGGTAAATGATGCTCAGATATTTTTAAGATGGTAGATGGGAAGATCATTAGACCACTTATTAGCCATTTATTTATGATATCGTCATTGGAAACAAAGGAAGGCAAGTGCAGTATGCATAAGTCCTCAACCAAAATGAGTGTATTTTATTTGTTTTCATTACTACTGTAAAGAGGTTAGCAAAGAGTCATGGTAAAGATGATTTACAGGAAGGCTGTGGGTCCAGTACCCCCACATGGACATTGCTATTATATCCTTGATCAAAGTACTTTACCCTGATTGCTCCAGTCCATCCGGCTTTATAAATGGGTACCAGCATTGCATTGGTATATGCATTTCTGTATCTTGGTATGAATCATATCAGCTGAGGAAATTAATTTGCACTGTGATGTGAAACATTCTTACTGAAGTGTTAATGCAGCTTTATGCTCTAGGTATTGCAGCTCCTCGCTTGACAAGGCAGTGCTATACTGAATGTACTGAGGTACAGATGTTCACGGTAAACATTCCAGATGTACAATGTAATCCTCACAGTATGTTATATTGTCTTCTTTGTCACAGCTAGAATTGTAGTTTGTTTTTCTTACCATTTCCCAATTAAAGACCCAAGATGAGTGAATCAGAATCTCCCAAAACATTTCTTTCGCTTCACAAATATTCAAAGATAGTGGTCTACATTATAGTGTATCATATTGTTTTTTATACTTTTTAGGGATGTGTTCTGCTGCTGGTTTTGTGTGAATGTCTTGACACATATTCAGAAGCAAATTGTTATGTCAGTGGCAGCACTGACATGGTATCGCTGTCAGTGCTAGTGAGAAATGTCAAAATACTGTTGCAAGTTGTTGCCACAGGGTGTTAAGTGTAACAGTAAGATATGCTAATGAATACACCATTACAGGTGACATTACCTTCTCTGACAGACGCCTAACACCTAATCTTTTTATTGTCTGTTGTCATATTCAGCATTGTCAAAAGATATAAACTCTCAACACACTAGGTAGTAGCATGGGGAAAAACCTTGACCACCATTGAACATTCTAAAATATTTAATGTAAATTTTTGAAATTTGAATTTCTCCAATACCAAGTTTAAACAGGCATCAATGTTTTTAATCATGTTTGGGTGACAAAAGCTAGATTGTTTTGAAAGTTTGTTTTGGCATATTGTGAGCTAATCATTAGTTTGTCTTAAGCCCCTTTCATGAAACAATCCATTTTTAATTTAGCATGAATTGTGAACGTAAGTACAAACATTGTAAGAACATATAAGATTCAGTTCTTTTAGCCTGTCAGCATAGGGTATTCCTTTCAGCGCTCAAATGTCTGTTTGTTCTTTTCTGGGTTGATTCCAGAGCAGCAGTTATTTTTTATAACATAGGGACAAAACGTGTGACCGTTATTATAATGGTCTTACTATTGCATAGTAAATGTGAACATTTCATCCCTTGCTTAGTTTACTTCAGGCTGAAATGAAATGAAATGAAATGGTGTTATTTAATTTTTCATTAATTGAAATGGCTTTTCTGATACTTGATGTTCTCCAATCCATGACTGACCTAATACTTAGGGAATTGGGTTTTTGTAGCTCTTCAGGGGAAATGGGTGCCAGAGAAGAGAGACTGTGGGTATTACACAGCATTCAGAACTCTGTGGTGTGATTTAAGACCCAAACATCTGCTCTTTAAAGATGTACAATGTTATGAGAACATTCTGCTTTACATAGGATATGTAGGATATATGTAAATATCTGTACTATTTTCATGCTTTAAGTCACTTATGAAAATGACTAATATTAGTATTTTTAATACTAATACTAGAAAAGAAATGTAAGGTGAGAAGGTCTAAAACAGCAGCAGCACCCACCAATATGAGAAGTAAACTGTTTCCCAATGTTTTTTACTTGCTCATTCTTCTTGGGAATTCTGCCTAGGTATGTTTGGTAGAAAGTTGGTCTGAGAGTCAAACCAATATCCATATATAAATGAAATGGAATTTCCTCAGCTAAGAATGCCAGAAATATTCTAATTATTCAAGCTGGGAGTCACAATATGCTTTGAAACTGGGTTTTTTCTGAAGATACCAAATTTTGTTAATGTATTAGGAATGAACTTCAACTTTATGCTGAGCTGGTGAAAATAGAGATGGCGTGACCAATGTAATGATTCTTAAATGAAAACTGCCATTCATCAGTATGTCAGATTAGTCTTTGTTAGTGCTCCGGTTTGCATTATTGAAAATATTACTCACAACATTTTAAGAAATTGCTGAAATTTCCCTTTGCAACAATGTCAATCTTTCAATGCAATTGAGCTGTATATACCCTTAAAAGGGAACTGCAGTTCCAAAATACTCAGACCGGTTATTAAATCTCAGTAATAAAACAAATTCATTGACAGTATAGAAACATTTTACAACTTTCAAATTATGCACAAAACTGTGAAGTTTGTGAAAGTACTGTTGTCGCACTCCCTGAGAGTTTCCTCAAATTGTAACACAATTTGACACTTCCTGCTCTCTATGCACTATAATGATTAATGTAATGTGATGTACATTGGAAAAGTACAGGTTGCATAGCAGACATTTCATCGCTGAAATGTTCAAATGTGATCGGCATGCAGAGTTAACAAGTAGTATCTGTGGGCAAAATCTTTTCGAAGTTGAGAGCAATGTTTCTATTGGATTCACACACCTGCTTGTTTGCATTGTAATAGGACAGCTTCACCTCACTGGATGTTTTGTTGCTGAATGTTTGTTATTCATTTGGATGACCATAACTAAACATTTTTAGTTGTTTTCACTCTGTCACAGTACCTTTATATAATTCACAAGATGACAGGGCAAGTGATTGCCGAATAAAAACTGGATGCTACCTGCCTGAATACTGAAAACTGTTAAAGTAGATTTTGGTTAAAGTGTATATAATTACACTTATTTTTAAGATATATTATAGTCACATATTTAATAAACATTTTCTTTAAAATTATTCATTTCATGTTACTGAAAATATGGATCCATTTTTAAAGCATAACAAGCAATTTGTCATAATCATATTTCTCCAAAGTACAGTTTGCTTTGAGTGCTTTGTGTTTGTCATTTTAATACACTTGAATATTCCACTTATATTTCAGACTTGGTTCTTTATTTCAAAAACATTAGCTGCACGGATTTGAGATTTTTAATATACCACTTGTAGCAGTTAATATTTAATGCAATTCACTATGTTTTATATGCATATTCACAGTTCAGATATTTATAAAGAACTTTGTAATGGACGATTTTATCCTTGCATTGTTCCTGAACAGGTCAAGAAGTAGTTCAAGATGGCTGCAGCTTCTTATGATCAGCTGCTAAAGCAAGTAGAGGCACTTAAAATGGAGAACTCCAATCTTCGTCAAGAGCTAGAGGATAATTCCAATCACCTGACTAAACTTGAGACAGAAGCTTCAAACATGAAGGTAAGAAAATTCAAGATTTTTGTAATGTGTGTTTATAGGTTGCTTGAGAAGACTAGGATTATCAGTTATTACTGAATCCAGACTAATGCAAAAATTGTGCAGTAATTACAGTAAATGTGAGAGTCATTGGATGCTTGCGTGTTCTACAAAGTGACATTTTCAAAGCTCAAAAGGTATAAACCTTTCTTACACCATTTTTGGTGGGGAAAAAATCATATTGCCATGGATGTAAGTTAAATTTGTCCCCTGTTGGTAATAGAGCTGTTTTGGCACTCATCTTATGTTTGTAATGACTATTTTGCTTCTGTAGCATGATCATCTTTCTTGAAGATGTCTGACAAGCTCTGAACTTAAATATTGTTAAGTTAATTGATGAGTATGGGAATATTACTGGCTAAGCTGAAATCATGTTCCCTGGAGGTGGTCAAGGTTTATTAATGGCTACTCATGCACTGTAAACCTTAGGGCATTACTCCAAACAATTGATCTAGTATTGAGATTGTGAGGGTTTATGGAAGTCAAGAGTAGCTTAGTATTGTGAGCTACGACATGACCTTATGCCGACGTTGCACTACACGACTTATGCACTACAGATTTTCAGTCATAGCCTACATTTACATAATCATAAGAAAATCACAGAGTTGTAGAGACACGCAGTGCACACCCGTTACCGTCAGTTGCGTGGTGTGACACCCCTAATATGATAGGATTCTTAAGAGCCCTTGCGACTCTGTGTGACTCGACAAAATCAAACTGGTTTGGTTTTTTCAGAGTGAATCACAGGTCGTCGGGGTGGGGTCTTGTGTCTGCAACAGTCAACAGCCAATGAGCGCTCAACCGGAAGTACAATGCATAAAATACCCACAGTGAAGAACAATGGCGGTCAAATAATTTTGTCCATGATCAAAAATATGTGGTCTACTCTACTTTTTTTGGCGTATCGTTCTCTGTTTTTCTGGTCACAAAGGAGAGCACAGGCCACAGTAGGGGTGCCCAACCAGTCGATCATGGAGTGCTTGCCAGTCGATCGATTGCAAGATTGTTTGGCAAAAAATAAATGGGCTATTTTACTTTTTTCGATAGCCTTAAAAAAACATTCAGATCTGTGCATGTAATTTCATTCATTTTACTGCCCGTGTGTGTGTTGAACCCTTGTTGAATGGGTTGTAAAAGTCACTTACCTGAGTGCTGGCTGACACTGGGGGGGGGGGAGGCTGCAGGGGCTCTGTAAATAGTGTTGTGTGTGCTACCCAAGAACGTTCTTTTGATTATAGCCGCACGAATACCACATTTGCTACAGTGCATAGTGGAGCGAAACAGACCGGCCGTGACAAATTCGCCAACAGTTTGATAAGTTTGATTGCCTATTTGAGTGAGAGTGAATGACAAGGAATGGGAGCATAATTATTTTTTTGTACTTTGTACTTTGGCATTCAAATCTGCAATGGTAGTGTCTACATGAAACGGAAATGTAGAGCAACATTTCAAAATGGCAAACAAAACGTATGATGTGGACTTTCTCGCTAAAAGTGAGTTATAGAAAAGTGGGGAAAGCTTAAAATCTCCACATCAGCGTTTGGTTTTCACAAGGCCTAATACAAGAGGGAAAGCGGCAAACATCGCATCGTTCCGTATGAGACACGTCCTGGCTAAACACAAAAAATAATTCAGGGATCGAGAATTAATTAAAAAAAGCTTTTGCTGAGGGTGCTGACTTGCTGTTTGGAGATTCAGAAAGCTTTTGTCTGAAATGAAAGAGTTTCTCAAGTCATCTAAACATGGTGAATTTGCCCAAATAGAGGATGACCAGTGACTTCTGTATTTAGCATTCCTCACAGACTTGACTGAACTGCTGAATGAGCTTAATGTTGAGCTGCGGGGACAAAATAAAAATGTAATCGACATGATCAATGGTGTTACTTGAGTGTTCTCAAGTAAGCTTCTCAGTGCCAATGCTCGCATTAAGGTAGGATATTCCTTTTTCTAAAATAAGGAACATGTCCCTACTAAGCATGAGTCACTTGCTTTTATTTGCTGTTATTTTAGTGATGGGTATCATAATTGTACTGATGTGCAGACAGTTTGTTTTTCCTATATCAGAGCTTCAAGTTCACACTGGTAGATCGTGCTGGACTCACAAATGAAAAAGTAGATCTTACATTAACAAAACGTGGGCACCCCTGGGCTACAGCAATGGCGGCAACTATCTCCTTGTTCTCCATGTTGTTTGTTTACATTTGTGGGGTGCTCCTCCTCTGATTCCGGTGTGCTCCATGTTGTTTGGCTGCCAGAATGAGGCAACCTTGCAGTACTTTTGCAGTGCAATACGAGATTTGGAACCGTGATGAAAAGTTTTGAGGGAATCGTGTAATTTGTCACCCCCTGTGATTCCTAGTCGTATTATTTGACACACTCTAGGACAGAAAAGGCACTGAGATTTAGCAACTGCAGTCCTTAAGTTTGGCATGCTCTCTGACTAGAAGTCGTGGCGAGTCATGTAGTGTGACGCCGGCATTAGTTATTCTGTTACATCTTGAGTATGTGGAACCTGTATAGGATGTTCTCGCATATTGTGACACACTTTTACCTAGATCTTGAAATTCTTTTTAGATTATGTATAGTTATTTATCATCGGCAACCTGTTCATTTTTTGCCATTTGGCAGGCATGGGCAACTGTGTAGAGGTGGATATATTCTTCGATTCATGATGTGATCAGTGACTCATTTTAACGTTTCCTGGCTTTAATATATGTACTATGATAAGCTTATATTTTTTTTTATTTTTTCTGCAAGCTTAATGATGTTTTTTAGTACTTTGGTTTAATTTGTTACAGTAAAATGTTAAGTGTGGTATAATTGTAATAAACCTCCTCAACTAAAAATTAGCTCATTCACTTCCACAGATCTCCGCTAGTACTGTTGAATACATTAAACTTAAAGCAAGGCTGTTTGTCTTTTCTACTGTTTTGTACATACAAACAGCGTGTTCGGTATTGGGGTGGGAGAACACAGTTGGCAAACAGGTTGCTGACGCAAGTGGTGTTTGTGGACAAGTAGTTGACACTCTTCGCTTTTGGACCACAATTTCCAAAACAGTGTTCCGGTATGGTAAATGGAGACACTGTGCTTTTGTAGTTGCTGTTGTTTAAATGAACAATTAGAGTTAACCATTCTGGTTAAGGTACAGTCTGCTCTGATGCAGTCTGACCTTCTTTTTGTTATGCCTTAATTCAATTGGTGAAACAGTTTCTCACTTCTCTGCTTGATCTTTGAGGTGCGGGAGGGCTGGGTTGCCTGACCCAGATGGGTGTTGCACTACAGATGTGGGTGAAGTGGATGCTTTTCTGTTAATAATGTGCTTTGGGATCAAAGTGCTAAATAAATGCAAAGAATTATTAGAATTAATTTTTTTAACCAGTTGCATGAGTGAATTTGAACGAGCCTTTTGTTGACTTTCAAAGCGTTGTGCAAGCATATTTGGAACACCTTCAGCAAGAGGCTGCTCTTTTCTTGTCCAGAGCAGAGGATTTCACATGCCAGCTTGATCTGTTACTGACGTTAAAGAATGATTAAAGGAAGAAAGGGTGTTAGGCTTAGTGCTGGAAAGCTAAGATGGCTCATGCATCATACAGAGGACTGGATTAGACTGAGCTAGCAGAGTGTGGAGTAGCAGAGTATTGGAGATGCATGCCCTTTTCAGTGGAAGACGTTTCTGGAAAGCCTGAACTTGGGAATCACCCCAAAACCACAAAGCCCACTCCTTTAAAAAAATATAAATAACAGCTTGAAGCTGGTAAAAAATTTAATTAAAATACAATTGACCTTATTCTTAACACTTTTTAAATTGCATGTCTACTTAATCCTTATGTACTGACATAAGGTTTATGTGCTAGTCTTTGGGTGTAGGGTTTTTGAATGTTGAATGAATGCTAAACGTTTTAGTTCTTTGGTTTTTAATTCAGGCTTAAGACTTCTTTGTGGAGAGGTAATGATTTTACATGTATCCTTAGCATTCTTTTCCAAAACCTGGGGAACTTAAAATTTAGTCTACATTGGAGACAGCTGCTGTTTTTTTTTTCCAATTTCCTTGCTTTTTTGTAACCTCTTTTTAATGTTAACATACTGTAAATGATTAATGTATAATTTTATGTCTTGAGTTTTAAAGAAATTATACATAGAGGCTAAATATTGCTTTGGTATTTCCTTAAGGATACCCAAATAAAATGTATGATCTTTCTTATTACCCAAGATGACTAATTTGTCCCTGGTGAGATTTGACTGCTGTTTGATATGCTTATATGTTAAGCTCTTTCAGCAAAAGACAGATTAACTCTGAATGTTAATTCATTTTATTACTCTGAAATTGTGCAAATAAATTAGGCCACTGCATGCTCTATGCATACTATATGCCCTACATATAATACGGACCTGTGGGCATATAATTTATGAAATGTGTGTGGAACATCCATAGTTATTTCTTAGATTAATGCAAGTCACAGTATCAGACTTAAAAATCAGAATTTCTGACAACTGTGCTTGTTTTCATGACTGCTCTTGATAATGGACACGTTGCTCAATCTGTCAAAATACGGAGGTGACAGAATGGCAAATAGTGTCATTCATCATTCACACGTGTCCTGTCATTGTGTTAAGAGAAGTGTCATGCATCCACGACTGGCAAATGAAGGAAGGGAGGTAAGCAGAGTACTTACACTTCAGTGTCAAACAAAACCCTTGAATATGAAAGAATCCCTCCTAAAGGAGCTTATAGGGAGCAGTGAGAGCAGACCATTCTGTCTGATGCTTTTCTGTAGAAGTGACAGTACATTTGTGAACAGGTAGTGGACAAAGAAATTGAAACACCGGCGTACGGTTACTTCATGGGGCATTTGGACACCATATGTGTCTGGTCGGGCCTGTAGATTCCGTGTCATCGGTTGTACCAGTGTTTGTAATTCTATGGGTTGATATAACACCACTGTTCTTTAAGACAGTCAGTT